CTGCCTTCGGCTCAGGTCATGATCCCGGGGTCCTGGGATCGAGCCCCACATCGGGCTCCCTGCTCGGTGGGAAGCCTTCTTCTCCCTCTCCCACTCCCCCTGCTTGTGTGCCCTCTCTGGCTGTGTCTCTCTCTGTCAAATACATAAATAAAATCTTTAAAAAAAATTAAAAAATAAAGATACAGAAAATTGGTGAACCGTCATGAGTAATTCTCAGCCCACTGTGGGCATCTATGTCTCCTCCGGGGAACCCTGCAGATGTGACTGCGCAATCTTCTCATCTGGGGTGCAGAGTCTTACGTCTCAAAATGTGGTCCTGGGTTAACAGCAGCACCAGCATCAGCTGGGAGCTGGTTTGGGGATGCTGAGTCTCAGGCTCTGCCCAGACTTCTTGCCCGAGAAGCCGCATTTCAACAAGACCCCAGGTGATTCAGATGTACATTACAGTTTGAGAAGCATTGCTGTAATAGAAATAACACGTATTCATTAATTTTTTGGTAAATTGTTTAAAGTTAGCTATAAAACTGACATGCATCAACACAGTACAGTAGGAATAAATATTTCAAAATCAGGACAGGAAAAAATATGCATTAGAAGAGGATATTAAGAAAAGGAGCAAAAATTAGTACATAGATAATTAAATCATAAGGAACTTTTGAGTGAAATTGTTAAGCACAAATCTGAATCTAAATTTCCTAGACTCCAAAGAGGAAAATATATAGTTCATATTACCCAAGGGCAGAAAAAATTATTTTTCACTGGGCTTCACGAGGGCACTAAGTTTTGGTGAAAAGTATCTTTAATAAATACCAGCGTGAAGTCAAAGACATTCCGCTCATGCCACTTTCTAAATGTCTTCAGAAGACAAGTTATCTAACATCACCAGCTCTTAGCTTCATCATTTTCCAAGATGGGCATAGTACTTTCAATCCTACCAGATTGTTTTGAGGACTAATTGCAGACAGTATGATATGTCCCACTTCCTTGGGCTCAGAGTAAATTCACATTTTGGTTTTGATTCTAATAAAGTCGGTCAAAGCTTAATTTTGCTATCTAAATCACAGTTTTCCATTTTGAAGAATAAAGGTGTGGGTCTTAGCCTAGCAGGTATCAAATCTTATTGAAATCTATAATCATTAGAAGAATATTATATTGGTTCAGAAACAGAGACATAGATTAATGGATTATGAGAGTGGCCAAAAGCAGACCTATGGGTATATCAGAACTGGAAATAGAACAGGGGAGCACTATAAAGCAGTAGAGGAAATGATGTTCTTTTCCATAAGCAACATTTTGACATGTGGAAATTCTGTATCACACTTTATACAAAAATAAATTTTAATCGAATTGAACAATTAAAGGCAAGAATGTGAGAAATTAGAAATAAATCAAACTCTCATCTCTCTCTAGAAAGAGATCTCGTATCTCTAGAGAGAGATGATATAGATAGATGATAGAGAGATAGATGATAGACAGATAATAGAGGTAGAGAGAGAGGAAGAAAAAAATTAAAACAAATGAATGAGATCTAGTTCTGTATCAAATGGATAACTTTAAAAAGTTAATGTTGGGTGAAATTGAAGGCAGAAACATAGAATATGATAACATTTATGTAAATTTTAAACACATCACTACTTTATATCATTTATGGACACACACATGTATAGTAACAGAAAAACATGGATAAGCAGTTTCTTTTATTATTATTTTTTTATTTTTTTGACTCCTGATTTTATTATTCAATTTCTCTTCTCTATTTAAAGTAGTCTTTGGTGGCTAGGAAGCCTGGCCTCCCAAGACCAGAGTCAGTTGGAGCTGGTTGTTGTTGGAAGGGGTTGGGATGGGGACAGGGATGGGGGCAGGGAGACCCTGCTCTGTTGGCTGTTCTGGGTGGAGAAGACAAACTGCACTTCACAGAGCCTGGGGTGTGGTGGGAGGGGGATGAGGCAGGAGCAGCAAGCTGGGGAGATGGGACACACCTCAGTCCCCAGCTTCATTCCCCTCTAATGTTTCCCCACTGGTGGCATTCTCTGAAGTCCTGGAGACCTTCTTTTTTTTCTTTTTCTGGGTTTTCCGACTTGCAGAACTCTGGAGGAGGGCCTTTAGCTCTGCATCCTGGACCTCCATCTCAGACTTGTAGAGGTCAGGCTCAAAGGGACCACTGGTTATTTGCATGGGGCCATTGGGCATGAGCAGGACTGTAAATTTAAACTGGGCAACAAATTCACCCTCCTTCTCATAAAGAACATTAAATGGCTGCAGCAGTTCGTGTTTGGCGCTCTCCACCACACCCATCCGGGCCTTCTTCTCATCTTCAAATGCTCTTAAAGTAAATGGCATGGTGTCAAGACGCCTTTCAACCTCACTGAAGAAGGCACATGAAGTTTTCATTTTCAGGCCATACTGTTTAGAAGGGTCTTGTTTGTAAATGGCGGTTCTCTGTCCTGCATCCTTGGCCTTGCCCTCTCCTGAGCTGACAAGAACATCCACAGCATATACTTCACGTACCTCCAATTCAGCTTTTTCATGGTCCTTCTTCTGCTGGTCTGTGGGATTCTGGATAATGGTTTTCTCTCCATCAATGTCATGCTGCTTCAATTGATGGGACAACATACCTTCTATTGGTGTGCAGTTAAACGAGTGGGCGACCTTGTTCCAGGCTTCTGTCACTTGTGTGTTCTAGTTTCCAGGTTTGACCAGGCATAGGGCAGCTTCAGCACAAAGGTGAGCTGCCTTAATGACATCTGCTTTCCGCCCTGTTACTTGGGTCCCCTGAGCCACATCTACCACGAGAAAGCGTGAGACCCGTTAGGGATGAAGCCATCCACATGGACCCCAAGGTCAACTTTTACCAAGTCGCCTTCCTTGAGAATATAGTCCTGGTGGCTCTTCAAAGGGGAAAAGTGACATACACAGTTATTTACTGAAATGCTGGTGGGAAAGGCAATACCTTTCTTCATTTCTTTTTCTTTCTTGAAAATTTTCCCTGTCTCTTCATAATCATGGCATCACCTTTCTCATACAGGCTCAGTACCGACACACCTGAGCAGGATGCCGCCACCAAAGACCCAAGTCGTCTTGCAAAGCCACCTCTCCTAGACACAGGACTCTCATGTTTCCAAATTAGTTTATGGGGCACATTTCTTCCCACAACCGCTGAAAGACCTGTTTAGCCACAATGGGCTAAAAGCCCACATCAGACTCTGCATTCAGGAAACAGAATCTAAAACACGAGGAGCAAAGGTTTAAATAACAGAGCTGACAGCCAAGAGTTACTTTCCCACACCTTTGGCAGTGTGTACAGATCTTTGACATTTCACCAAAGCTAAATGTTCCACTCTAGAACCTGACTCGTTCTTTACTATTTTTATTGTGTTGCGGCTTAAAAAAATTGCCAATTAAGTTAAACGAAACTGTCGCACAATCAGCTTCTATAATTACCATCAATGCTTTATGATAGGCTCAAACAAACAGAGGGTTTGATTTTTTTTTTTTTTTGCCAGAGTTGTAGTTTCTTTTTGTAGAAACAATTATCCTGGTGGTGCTTCCCAGCAAAGGGAACACATAGCCCGAAGCCACTGCATATTTCATTTTCAGTCCAGCAGTTTCAGAGTTCTCGCTTTTCCCAGCGACTGTTCAGTGGGAGGAAAAGACAACCCAAGGCCCTGGGTAAAGCACGGTATGTCACAAAGCAGGCAGCGAGGCCACCAGGAGCTGGACGAAAAGAACGCTGCCCCGGTCTGGTGCTGCCAGCTTCCGAAAATGCACATTCACCCACAGGATGGAGTGATGACAGGTTAAGATCCAGTACCACAACCAAATTCATGTGTTCCTTCTCCAGCAACAGATGTCACCAAGCATAAGGATACAAATCTAATGTTACATTTACTAACATCAGCAACGAATGGTAAAAGACACATAATAAATTGCACTGGGAATGTATTGGGTTTAAACTTCCTTTCCATCACCTCCTGGTTGAACGAGTAACCAGTCTCAGTTTTCCCACCTGTAAAATAGGGTTACCAGTAGCATTTAGCTCACAAAGCTATTTTGAAGATTAGGTAAGTGAATGGGTTGACTCATTTATTCAACAAATATTTATTGAGCAGTTACTATGAGTCAGATGCTGTTCTAGGTGCTGGGGATGCAACTATGAACAAAGCAAACAAAATACGCCAAAGGAGTTTAAGGGAATATTAGCTGAGACAGTGCTCACACATAATAAGCACACGAAAAATGTTAGCTATGTTTTTTATGTGATATTATTTTACTTTTACATATGGATTTTGTTTTTGTTATTGTTACCTATTATATTTTACCCACACCATGGTAGCATATTTTATTATTGACACATCACATATGGGAAAACTGAAGTTCAGAGAGTCCAAGGAATTTATACAAGGTCAAATAATTAATACATTGGTCAATTTTCAAACCTGAGTTTATGGGACTTGGGTCCATGTACTTCCTAAACTCAGAGCACAGTGTTGATTTCTAATGAGTCCAGGGTCTATGCCTCTCAGCTACGATCAGCTGTGGATTCAGCATTCCCCTTGTTTCTAGATCATGGTATGATGGTATGATCCAATTCTTCATTTATACATAGTGATCGGGAGCTAAATGTTGTAGGCATCATCCTTTACCTGGAGAGGAAATCAGGATGGAAGTAGTGAAGAAAAGGTCAGACTCAGGTAATCATAAGGAAGAGCATTTCTACAACTAAAGTGATTGGACTTTGGTACGGGTTACAGTATGGGCTAGCATAATCAGTGGTGAATTTCTTGTCCTTGAGATGTTCAAGGAGAAGCCAAAAAAGGAGAATGTAGCCCACGGGATTTATATATCTGTTAGGGGGTTGGTCCAGATTTCCTACTTCCCAAATCTGGCTGATTCGGAGAATCTTTCAAAGACCTTGATAAAAATAGAGATTCTCTATATTTCCGAATCTCCGGGTTCAGAATCTCTAGTTCTCCCAGAGTTCTAGAATATCTGGAGTATTTAATATTTAGCTCAGAGAACTGTCTTGATGATTATGTCAGCTAATAATATATTTACCTATTAATTTGACAAATATTTATTGAGCAGTTACTATGTGCCAGGTCCTGTCTTAGGAGCTGGGGATATAACAATGAACAAAACAGTCCTTCACTTAAAGGAGCTTAGAGGAAAATGTCCAGCACAGAGCTCAGCACATAATAAGCATGTGATGAATATTAGCTATGATTTTTGTACTAGCATTATTTAATTAAACAGATTCATGAGTCATCTCTGGTCTTCTAATGTAGGCTGTCCTTAGATACTCTGAACTGAAGGATCAGCTCCGGGGTGTGACCCTTTCGGGTCTTAGGAAGGACATCTTGCGCAAAAACTCTACAAGCATTTCTTGACTGCCTCATGAGTGAATATACCACCAATATTTATTCATCTGCATCACTGAGTTGTAGAAAAGCTGAAAACAAAAGCACGAACTGGCAGCTTTCTGGAAGTGCCACAACTTTCTTCTAGACTGTGGACTCCCTGGGGGCAGGGTCCACGTCTACTCCTGCTCTGTCCCCACAGTTTCTAGGACACCACCTCGTACAAAACTGGATATCAAAGAAGTTTGTTTAGAGAATGGATAAATAAATTAGGGCAGTGTTTTCTCACTTGCCGGATCATAAGGTTCATCCAGAATGACTTAAAATACTGATTCTCATTACCCTCCCCAGGCCAACTAAGTCAGAATTTCAAGGTGAGAGGTCTCTGGGAATCAGTGTGTTTAACAACTGGCCTCCCTGAGGGGCCCTGGTGTCAGGAAAGTTAGGGATACACTGATGTAGGCTGAACTTCCCTGGGTTGGTTAGACCTGAGGACACTCTCAAGTGGGTTGACCATCCGGGACACTGGCCTGGAAACCAATTCCCATGCTTGGCTTTCCCCAGTTCATCTCTGCAGCTGCCATCCATTTGGAGACCAGGGGTGGCAGTGGCTCATGCTGACTTAGGCACTTGAGCTTAATTCGCCTTGCTTTTCTGTTTCTTTCTCCCCTGTGCTAAGCACCTATTTTAGAAGAATTTCCAAAGAGGCCTCCTAAATGCTCATTTTAAGAAAGGGAGAGAAGCTCTAAGAAACGCACCTTTTTTTTTTCTGCTAAAATAAAAACCTGTATTTTCTTCTTCTCCCACTGATTAGGATCTCAGCATTCCACCAAGACAATCTCCAAAAAAGGAAAAGCAAATGAGCAGGGCTGTTTCTGAGGGTATGAAATACTTTACAATTAAATAAGGTACGGTCGGGCTTGGGGCTGATCACTGGTGATGGGTAGGTTTCTGCGAGGCTGCAAATGAATTCAGCGCGGGACAGCGTTCCAAATGGCTCCTACAAGCTTTCCCTTTATTATTTTTATTTGGTTATGTGCTGACTCTCATCCAGAATTACACTTAATGCCCTAGTCTGAAGTTGTTGAAATGGCCCCTCATGGCCTAGTGTGACAGTGAAAGGATATTGCCTTTGGAAGCTGCTAATGGTCCATGAAAAGGAAACAGCCACGAAACAATGTCGGATAAAAATATTCACGTCTTCGCTTTCATGTCCATTTATTGAGAGAGAGAGGTGTGATCACAGGGAAGGCAAAGATTTCCAAGACAGGCAAAGGTAAAAAGAATGCAAGCACCCAAGGTTAAAAATATACCCACATTCACGCACACATTTTTCTACGGTTCATAATTAAAAGACAGAATTTACATTTGGAAGCCTAATGGAGCTCCAGACTCTGAGCACCGAAGGGAAAGAGCTCTGGGGCTATAATGGTAAGAATGGTGGTCAGCTGTGGGCAGGATCCTTAATTCCTTTATCTAACCCGTGTGCATGGGCACTTAGGAGGCACCGGGCCATGTGCTAGGAGCTGGGGATGGGGAAGTGAGTAAGGTGGGTCCCCACCCAGAAGGAGCCCCCTGTTGGTGCGGAAGAGAGACTCAACACACATCTTCTGGTAACTTGACAGGTCAGAACAAAATGCCGGAGGGGCCCAGGAGCATTCAGAATTCAAGGAAGAGCAGGCATCGGAGGTTGTACATTGCCAAGAAAAGGTGAAGAGAGGTGTTGGGCAGGAGGAGAGGGGAGTGGTAAGAATGTTCTAAGCAGAGGGAAAGTTAGGTGCAAAGACACAGCATGGATAAGGGGTTGATGAGTTGATAGAGTTTTGAGATGTTCAATGTGGAAGAAACAAGGGGTGCTCATGGGAAGAAGGTCCAGGTAAAGCTAAGGCAGGGGAGTAGGGCGAGATGGGCAGCAGAGAGACTCAGAGAGAACTTGTCAGACACCATACAAGTCTGACTGGCTCCTAGTAGCCAGCCAACCCTTCACTAACGACAAGGGCACTCACATACTCTCCTCTTGCTCTTAGCGAGTGTTTGGCTTTAGTGTCTTTAGTGAGAGTATGAGAGAAAGCATCTATTACCTCTTGCCTCTAGAACATGACCCCCATTACATTTGCCTCCCACCAACACTCTCAAAGGGAAGATGGGAAGACATTCCAGCCAGAAGTAATCTCTTACTAGAAGAGAATAAGAAGTAATCAACATCATCATTTGAAACTCAGTTATGTAGGAATTTTATCCATTCATAACAACTGACATATATTAAATGCTTAATATGTACCAGACTCTATTGTGTTTTTAATGTCTTTTTTTATTAAATCCCTCCAACCACATTATGAGGAAGTACCTCTTTTCTTCTTGTTGTATAGGTTGAGGAAACGGAGTCACAGAGAAATTATAAGCCCAGACCTCACAGCTAGTCCATCTGGCCCAAAGGACTCCAGAACGTGGCCTTCAGCCAGAATAGAGAAGAGAAATGAATGGCAAGAGAGCCTAAAAATATTCTGAGAAGCTGAGATAAATTAGTACATATTTATGTTAACTAACAAAACTTATTCATTAAATCCCTTCCCCCTCCCACCACCCCCACACGTGATTTATATGATTTGTGTATGTTCTGAAGTACAGTTATTTTGGTAAGGGTTACAAAGACATTTTGGCATCAATTCAGAAATGCCATGGTTTATTAAAGATTAACGGATAGAGAGCTGGAAGACCTGAGTCTTAGTCTTAGTTCTGCTATTAATTAACTGTTTAATTTCCTCAAACCAATTGCTTTCCTTTTCTGGATTCAGCTTCCCCACCTGT